GGATCATGGAATCTGTCTGCTGGCCCTGCACAGGACCCACCAGGAGTCACAGCACGTGCCCAGGAGTACTGTCAAATGAAGAATCATAAAAATAAATTAAGAAGTTATTTGTGTCACCTAACTTTTGTGACCTGAGCAACTCTCAGGCAGTGCTCGTCCCTCCACTAACCCCAGAGGGGACACAATCTTCTTCACCAAACAGAATTCAGTCTAAAGCTGAAGGTACAAACCTGTGCTGCTGTAGCAGATGACAAGGCACCTGGAATGCATTCACTCCACAAATCTGCAGATGCACACCGTTGCTTCTTATTAATTAATTCCTGCCCTCATTTGACCAATTCTTTTTCCAACTAAGGAAGAATCTGCAATATCCATGCCTTGGTCATTTGACCTGGATTACTTTGGACAGCTGATAGGACAACCAGGGAAGCCCAAGCTCCATGCCAGGAGATATTTCCATCTGTTTCAGCAGAGAGCCCATTCGTTGGATCTTGGTCTCAGTGATTTTATTAGTCAGACTCTGGGGGGCACTAGGATCTCATGATGAAAGACGTGGGATAGAATCACTGCTGTTTCCCACACTCGTATTTGCAGCTATTTGGATTTTGAATGTAAAATCAGGGCCAACAGTGATTAAGTTTCAAATGAGTCTCATCACGCTTCAGAATTCCCCTACTTCCAGTTCCACAAACTCTCTCTGGACCTCTTCAGCTGGGAAACCAGCACAGAGATCTCAGGAGAAAATTGCTTATCTTCAGTTCTGAAACTGAATGTGCAACATGATTTTGCAACATGTTAAATACTTGAGAAGTCCTACACGGCCAGCTGGCATAGCAGGAGCATGGACAGGGGCCCAGGTACTGAATCGCAGAGCTGTCCCCTCTAGACTGCCTTCCCCTTCCCCCTACACTGGTTTAGCTTTTGATCCCACACAAACCCAGAGAGCACAGGGACACGAGCAGGTTGCTGTTTTTCCCCATGGCTCCTGCTCAGCAGTGACTTCTCTGCCCTCAGAAGAACAGGGTGGGGTTCATGTTCTCTTAAATCCTCATCTTGCTCTTCTCTGTAATCATCTCAGCTTACAGGACAAAGCAATACCCAAAATCTTTGTTAACTGCAATGGGAAAATTGCTCCTAAAGAGAAGTTAAGAAGGCAGGGGCAGAAAAAGCATGGTTTGAGGTAGGTGCAGGGAAGCTTTCAAGGATGCCTGGAACACCCACACAGTCATTTGCCCTGTTCACAGCACTGACAAGGAACCACTACCATAAAAATAGCAATAATAAATAGATCTAATTGCAAAATCCACATTTCAGCCTGCTACTTACATGGATTATGTGATACCATCTCCTCTCCCTGACTGTCTGATATGGTTAGCCAATATGGCAAGAATGGCAAACATTATCATCAAATATGTGACTTGCAATTTAAGCAATAAAACTGTTTTCATGAAACTTCCTATTATGTAAGGCAAAAATATCACAGAATTTATGGAATTTGTCTATATATGGAGGATTTCAAATGACAATTGCCTGCTAGCAGTCTCAAGACCAAACAATTACAGTGGAATATGTTTAAATAAACTATACTTATAGTTAAATGTATGGAATTTCAAAGAACACTGAAAACCTTGAAAATCTCTTCAAATTAATCACTGCAAATTATTCAGTCAGTTACAATTCCAGTCATCTGTGCTTCGGAGAGCAAAAAGCATGTAATTTATTTGTCTGACTCTCACAAAGTGTCCACCCATTCCTTTAAGCTCTATTTTCACTGTGCTTTATGGGGTCTGTTAGACAGCTCTACAAAAGCATTTGAACATCAAACTGAGATTCCCAACATAACACTGGGCAGAGACCAGAACTTCTAGGTGAAACCCCCAAGAGGGAATATTATGTGGCATCTTTGATAATTGCACTCCCTATTGTCTTTAATTTCTAGATTAAATGCAGAAGGAGGTGGGGAAAGAAAATCCTTTTTCACAGTCTGATATTGTCATCTGAGGATATTATCTAGCTATAATTTATGCTTTAAAGCACTTCAGAAGGAACTGATATTTTTATAGATGCCTGAACTCTTATGATCTGTAAAGCTGCCAGCTGTTAATACTCTGGAGAAATAGAAATTCAGTTATTTAAAACCACAAAGAAACTAACCAGAAATCCAACCTACAGAGCACACAAAGAGAATTCTAATTTGACCTTTGTCTTTAACCCAAAGTCAGAGACTGCTCAGCTGAAAATGGGGTAAGTGCAAGAGTCAGTTCAAACCCACTCAGAGGCTGAGAGAACTGATGTGTGTCTGAACCTCAGCTAAGTGCAGACAAACCCTGAGCACAAGCACCCACCTTCCCGAGCCTTAGAACAACCTTTACTGCTGGAAAACCTTTTTGTTGGGACCCTTACTGTGGAAAGGATCCTGTTGCTCTGTCACAGCAGTGCAGATGAACAGCTGGAGCACATCTGTACTGCCCCTGCCACCACCGAGGGCTCCAATTGCTCAGCCTCTGCTTTTGATACATAAGAAGGTGCCAAGATTTGCTTGGCATTAGTGAAATGGGAAAGGGTGACAGTGACAGTGCCCTGCCCAGGAGGGGATGCCAGCTGCACCCCCTGCCTGTGGCTGCAAGAAGACTTTGTCCCTTGTCCCACTGTGCTTTGACAGCATCCAGGTATATCTGACTTTTCCAAGACTTCAAGATTTCTCCATCACTGCTGTCATTTTTGTGGGTGCAACTGAAACTCAGCTGCTCTTGGAAGAACAGCCCCCTAAAGGAGCTGAAGCCAGTGAGCTGCTCTGCCTCTGGCCACCACACACCCATCCCGTCCTTGGTCCCCATTTTTCTGAACTTTCCTGTCTCTACTCCAAAGGATGATGCAAAAGCCAAGTACCACACCCATCTCAAAACCCCTCAGCTCGATACCTCTTTTTTATTCAAAGGATATGAGAATCAAACCCGTAATTCTCACACCCAAAGGACACCACTCTTCAGTAAGTCCAAGCAGTCACTGCCAAGAGAAACAACATTCTCCCAGCAGCTCCCACTCTCCATCCTGCACCCACAGCTCTGTGGGTCAGTAAAGCAAGAAACCTGAGAGAAATGAAGTGCTCCTGCTTTCCAAGCCCAAGGCACCTCCCCTGAGGGACCCTCCCACCCAGCTCACCTCTCCTCCTCGTCCTCCCAGCAGTGAAAACAGCGGATCCACAAACCTTGGCCTGATTTCCCAGGCTGCCCACGGATTCCCACTACAGCAGTATCAGTTTGCTGGTGACCAGGAGTTATTTGAGATGAACCCTGCACAGGCAAACTGCAAGAAAGGCCTGGGCACAGAGCACTGGAGGGTCCCATCTGGAGATTTGTTTCTCCCCACCTTCCCCTGCTCCAGCTGCTGAGAAACAGCAGCCACAGCATTCCAGCTTTAATCATAGTTTTGTTCACCCTCCACAGAGCAGTAATAAAAAGTTCAACCGGGGGGGGGAAAGAAATACCACAGCTAGTCATTCCCACCAGCCATACATCTGGCCCTTAATTACCCCATGGTATTTATATAATCAACAAAATATTCAACTTGTATGACTGATCATGCTGGAGTAGTGGAACACATTAGCAAATAAATAGCAAAACACACAAATTTGTCAACAGATGGATTACAACCCAACGTAATTAAATGCAAAATAGTTCTGCTTTTAAAGCAATTGCTCATAAATTAGCCTGTCAGCAAATGTATGTAACTAATTGCATGAAAAAAATTAGGCCATAAGACAATATTATCTGCACATAGTCTTTCCAAACAATGTAAAAATGATTGGGTACATTATTAATTGAAAAGAAGTCAAACTGCATTAGTTTAATTGCTCTTTTTTTGTGCAAACCTATTAGAATAATTTATACCATATTTATCCTCTTTAAATTTGATGATAGGTATTTAACTCTTGTTTGTAGACTAGCAATGATGCTTTTACCTTTTTCTCAGCTTCATAAATGCAGTAAGAATTCTGTTTGTCCATGGCAATGATGGACTCAGACTATGTCCCAAGAGTGTGTGAGGAGAAAGGCAGCTGAAGCTGTCCTCAGAGATGCAGCCCTTTTGAAATCAACCAGAGGCTGTTACAAAAATCAGTGGTGGCAAGAAAAGCTTGTTTTCAGAGAGGAAAGACTAAAGAACTGTAAAACACGATCTAAAAAAAGTGCATCCATAATGACACTGTCAGCCTTGAGCAAAGCCAGTTCAGAGCTGTGAGGTTTCACATCCAGAGCCTGGCTCTGTGACACATAATTAAAGGTTTAATCCCATGATTTTCAGCCCAGGATCTACCCAGGTTGGATCAGGATCCGTGGGTTACTGATCAGGAACCTGTGAAAGGTCATGCAGAAACAAAACCCTGTTCCCTCACTCTCCCTGTGCAGGAATTGGTGTCTCTCTTCTCCCTATTTTCTCCCAAGTGGCTGAAAAGCACTTGCAGCCCAAGGCTGACAGTCATGAACACAAAGATTGCATTGATTTTAGGAAGCTTTGCTTAAGTTCTGTAACCAAGAAAAATCCATCCTGAGCATAATTCAGGTCTAGTGCTGCTACAGATGGGGAGGGCTGGTGACATCAGAGAAATACCCCAAAAGAAAGATCACAAGTGTGATTCATTTCATGGACCTAATCAAAACATCTGCAATTTGAGCACAGGTAATTAACTGCACATAAACAACTGGTGAACTAAGAATCATCCATGTAAATTATTCAGTAGCTATTTACTTCTCTTGAGCATTTCCCTCCTTTTCCCCTGAACAAGAAGTAAAGCTGACAGAGAATTAGGAAGAAACAGAATAGTATGGAGAAATTACCAGTTTGGAGACAGAAACACATCTCTCCAAAAAACTCACAGATGTGCAAACTTGTCAGCTGAACTAAAATGGAAACACTGACAATCCAACAGGAATTCCCACGCTGGACACTTTCCCCAAAGCAATAAATACAAGGAGCTCCCAAAGCAGAGCCTTGCCTGGCCTGACGTGGAGAATCTGCATTCAAATCCAGCACCTTGCTCTCAGCAGAGAATGAAGTCTTGCTCATTGGGCTGCAGAATGTTCACAGCAGGGTTGATTGTCTCTGACTGATGGCACAGCAGCTGCGAAGCTGTTGGATGAGAAAAGCAGAGAAAGTCAGGAGGACTTGGCTGTAACCTCCAGCACAGTCTCCTGGCTCTGGCACCCTATTGTAGACACATAAATGTGCATTCAGTAACAGGACATGGAGTGGAGGAGCCTCTTTAACCCAGCCCAAGAGCCCCAGGAGTGCCAGCAGTGGGGTTTGGCTCCTTGCAGTGTAGTGCTGTCACTTAAAAAGGCAGAACTACACCCTTCATCCTAATATCTCACCTTAAGGAAAGAGAACATAGCCCGTCGGGTCAGTATTTGCAGGGAGCTTCAGGGCACCACAAGCAATATTGTGGATGAAGGGATGAGTCTTCCCAACCTCCAGAGAATAAAATTTGTTTCTTGGCTGAGTGCTTTAGCAGGTGAAGTCCAATGGAGCCTGGCATTTGTTGGCAATGAGAAAGTTTGGCATATATTTATTTATATTTAAAAGCTGACATTTATGGATAACCCTCCAGAGGAAGTTGATAAAATAATCCCAGGGGATATTATTTTCCCAGGGGAAAGGGGCTTGTAATTGCTTGGGTTGGTGATCTGGGAGTCCTCAGTGAGATGTTTTTGCCTTGAAGGAAGGGGAGCACACATGAAGGGAGGTCTGCTGAAGGTTTGGTTCATGCCAACGGGGGCCACTCGGTGGCCAAACCTGGGGGAGTCACTGAACGTGACTCGAGAAGATGCAGCTGCTGCTCTGAAGAAGTGGGCACCACAGGATCCCTGAAAATACTTTTGACGTTCCATATTCCTATCCAGAATCCAACAGAAGCAATTTTTGTGCTGCCTATAGCAAATCCAGGGGGATCTGGAACAGTTACAAAACCCTGTACAACCCAGCCATATATACTCTAAAATCTTGCAAGTTTGTCATAAAAGAGAGGAAATTTCTCTCAAAATTAGCTTTGGACTTCCCAGAAGGAAGTTCAGGGTTAAGATTACCCCCTCCTATTCAGCAGATTTGGAAGATACAGCTTGACAATGATGGATCCAGATAACGTTATTAAATACACAAGTACATTTAATCAGTATTTGGTATTGCAAAGAATGCCCCTGCTTTTCCTACATTAAATTTCCAAAGCAGTTTTGGAAAGATACAAAATCAAGGCTGTTAAGTATTCCTTAATTCAGACAATGCAGGGGAAATGGAGATACTGAGCCAAATGAAAAGTGAAAATAAGAGTAGCAAATTTAAACTCTTCACTCCTGGGCTTGTAAACTTAGAGCATTATTGTCAGCACAGGATTCACCTTAAAAATCTTTATTTCACTCCACTGGAATTACTGCTTACAGCTTTTCCAAAGTGAGTGCTTGCTCCTGAGAAATTTACATTACATGAAGCTTGGGAGCAGGATCAGAAATTTAACGTAGCAGCTCAGCTGCTCTTTCAGCCTCCTCCAGACCTGCAGGAGGTGGAACTGGAGCAGTGTGCATCACCTCTGCCCTCTCAGACCACTGGGGAAAGGCTACAAGGCCATCTGTGTGCTGTGCTCTGCTGGAATTCCCCAGAAATGCTCTGACTTTACCACTAATGGCAATGCTAAGCAGAGGAAAATATTTAAATGCACGGAAGAGGAACTTCTGTGAGCGCTTGCAGTACACATTACCTCTGCCAAGATTTTTGCTTAGGGCATATCCTGGTGTGAAGTATTAAGGATTCCTCATGTCCTGAAGGAGGCACTGGGGAACTCTTCAGAAATCTCCCATTACCCACCCAGCTGCCTCTGAGCAAAGGAGACTCATTGATCCTGAGTCTACAGAAAGTCTTTCCAAAGCCAGAACAGAAAGAGGATTTTTTTTTCCTTTCCCTTTTCACATTAGACCCAACCAAATGGTTGGACAGAAGCACAGACTTGCTTCACAGCTGGCAACTTCCAATTACTCCAGCAAATTCCTTAGGATGTTTGTTGTTGAGAGAAAGTGAGGAGCGGGACTGCAGAGACACCAAAAGCCGTGGCAAACATGGGCATCTGGGACAGAGGAATTTCACAGCATAAAAGGTGTCTGCTGAGGCAAACTTAGCCCCTACTTAGAGAATTTTAATGTATTCAGCAAATGGAATTCAGCATTTGGAAGACAAATGAACACTCGGTGTAGGACAGTGTTGAATTATTCCTGAATTGATAATGGGCTGTGCTTTCTTCCCCAATTTCAAGCTTTGCTTCACCAGCCTCGCTAAACTTCTACAAGAAATGCCACAAAGCTGACAAGCACTTCCAGACAATGGGGAAAAGATCTGCTGGTGATTATTTGTGTTCCTGTAGAGCCCAGGAGTTGTGGTGGTAGGCTTGGAACGTTTGGAGCTGTGAGCTGCACACAAAGAGCAGGGACAGGCTCTTCCCCTGTGTGCTCACCACATCGGGGCTGGGGGCAGAGAGACAGCCAGGGAAGCAAGGAGAGAACACAGCACTGGAGTTAACAACAGCCAGAAACTGAGTTAACAGTGTGGCAAAGCAAGATTTAAACAGGGGATGGCAGGGAAGAGAATAGCACATCCTGGGGGAGGGTCCTTCCAGATGTGTGAGGCTGAGTGAGCACAGCTGCATCCCTGACTGAAAAGGGAGACACTGCCCTGGCAGCAGAAGAGAAGGGAAAATGGGACATGGACAGACAGGGCAGGGCCTTTAAAGGTAAGGCAAACTGGTGGTGGTAGGAAAAAAACCCCAACAAACCACAAAACAAGAAAAGGGAGGAGCAGAAGAACACGCAGAGAGGTTCCTCAGCTGAACCAGGTGGCAAAAGGTGCTGGGGGAAGCACTTTGGACAGCTGTGTGCAGGAACATCTGTGAGTGCTGGAGAAAACAGCACTGGGGGAGCTCAGCTGGAGGAACCCCAGCAAGGATCAGAGCTCTAGTGGAGAGAAGCTACACCAAAAGTTTGAATGTGAGTCAGCTGCAGCATAGACATTGAGATTTAGAGAAAAGATGGCCAGAGACAGTGTCCAAATGATGGATGCTAGGGTGAGGGAGAATGCTGGGGCTCCCCAGCTGCCAAAGAAGAAACAGGAGAGTGCTTGTATTACTCTTGGTATGACACTTCCTTCTGTGCTTTAAGACGTGTAATCTGGATGCATGCACTCAAAAAAGAAAAAAAGAAAAAAAAAATATATGAAGATTTGCCAATGTGGGTGGATAAACCTGTCATTATTAAAATGAATCCATTAACTATGATGCTTTATAAACTCCAGATGATCTCTCTTCTATTATCCCATAAGGAGATTAAAATTTTTCATTGTTGCTTTTATGCAATTTCTTTGTAAAGGAAAATAGCTCAAGGTTAAATTGAAAAACCTTTTCCATCCAATAAAGACACCATATTAATTTTCCCTCATCTTAGAGAAAATATATGGCCTTGTGAGACATGAAGGCACTAAGTGTGCTTCTTTCTAGGCTCCTAACTGATCTGTTTAATAATGGAGCAGTGCCTTGGCCATCTGCTTTACTGCACCTCCCTGGCAGGGAGCAAAGCTGCCCATGTCACTTCCAATCAGTTAAATTCAATCCAAACAGATAAAAGTTTGCAAAATACATTTTAAATCCCGAGAACAAGCAGTAAAGCCCTCTCTTGCAAATTAGGTATTCAGTGACTCTGATCTCCCTTTTAATTTACTACCTCCAAGAGAGGAAATAGAAAATAAGAGCAATGTTCCTTTCCTGGCAGCAGTTTAGAGTATGAATATTGTACAGTTGAGCACCCATGGCAGAAAGTTCCATTTTTGCCTGTTGTGCACAAGTTCTGCATTGGATTGAAGCACAGTACATATAATTTACACTCACATATCCTCCCAGCTGATTTTGCAGCTGCAATAGAAACCCTGACCTCTGGACGAGGTAACTGGTACAGCAGCACCCTGACCTGCACAGATAAACTTCAGGGCTTCCCAGGCTCTTTAATTATCATTTCCCAAGAGCCAAAACAAGGCAGTGTTTCTCCTGGCACACAGTGCTGTCCTCCCATGGTATCATTTATGCACCTCTCAGAACTTTTCTGCCTCCTGGTCTCTCAGCACGAGCCCAGCTCTCCCCTTCTCGTGCCCTCCTTCAGAGGCTACAGCCAATTCCACTTCCATGGCTAACACTGGGTGCTGCAAGGCTCTTCCACAAGCAAGCTATCAGTGTAGGATAAGCTCTACAACCAGAGTGTTGATTTTCATAGCAGAAATGCTGGCCAGACATCAGCTTGGAGCACACAGTGCCCACAGGCTCATCCCAGAGCCTGCACCACCCATCTCTCCATGGAAAGGTGGGGTCCATGGAAACCTGTGTGGGTAGCTCCTGCCCACCACAGTTAGCAGTGTTTGCTCGTGGAACAGAAGGGAGAGCACATCCAGTGTGTTCAGGGCATTTGTGGCCTGTCACTGGAGACAAATCTTTCCTGCTGCTTTCAGAGGGATGATGAGGGTTTGTGCTGGAATGTAAGTTTCCATTAACAGCCAAGGTGAGTGAACATCAGGAAATTATACAAAGCATCAGTTTTATGAGCTGAAAGATTTGTTACTTCCACCCACACAACTGAAGGCATTATTTTTAAGTGTTTAAATTCTTAAACCTTATTATTTACATATCAAAAGAAAGAATCCACTAGAACTCCCCCCCCTCCCCCCAGTTCTAGTATGAACCTCCCTAGGTGCCTTTTAGAGGTTTTTGATGGATAGTTTAACTCATAATTGTCACTTCAAAGGCTCTTCAGATTCTAAAATCTGTTGGATTGTCAGAGCTGCAGCCAGCTGTGCTGGAGTCAGGAATGAATGCCTTTTCCCAGGACACTGAGTCTCCAGGCTGGGCAGACAGAGCAAGGCCGCACCATCCTGCACCAGACGTGTCCCACCTGGCCACCACCTCCTGGGACTTCTGCCCCTGCCTTTGATGCCTTAGGATTTTAGCTTTTATATTTGTCATATATTTGTAATCCTGCAATTCTTTAGTGTGTAACTCCAAACTCCACACACAGTGTGAGCTGCTGCTCTCCCATTTTGCTCAGACATAGCAA